CAGGTCCTCTGGACTTCTTCAACCAGGTTGAGTCAGGTCCTCTGGACATTCAAAAAAAACAAAATAAACAAAAACAAACAAAAAAAGCAGACACGTTTCGTCTTTCATCCAAAGGACTTCTTCAGTCTGAGGAGCTGCAACAAACTCAGTCTTATAAATAGCGCCTTCTCGTAGTGGATCAACCGGTTTGCTGCTGACAACCAGAAGCAGCTGTTCACATGATCAAGGAGGACCATCAGCCTAACGATGGATCAACAAAACAAATTAGTAGAGTCAAAGTTTGTACATGGATGGCAGCGAGACGGGCGAGTCGAGCCTTCTCCTCACGGATCCGAGTCCTGTCTTCAGCCTTCCTCTGCTGCTGCTCCAGCTGACCGTCCTCCTCTTTGCTCTCCTCCAACTCCTGCAGAGGAAAAGTTAGAGTCAGCGCAACAGAGACAAACTTCTCTACGGCCAGAGAGGGAAAGCAAAGGACTAATACTTTTCGTTTATGGGTGAGGATTTGTCTGAGCGCTGCCTGGCTGCTGTGCTTCCTCTCGGCGTGCCGTCTGTACCAGCGCTGAATGGTGACTGCGGACTGGTTCACCTGCTCAATGAACCTGAACGAGAGAACTGCCGTGAGTCTCACAGCAGACCACTAACACAGCAGGGATGCTGTTCGGAGGGCTGACCTTTCCGCCTCCTCCTCGGTGACCTCTCTCCTCCGCGGCGGGACAGGGCTGCTGCGTGGACCCGAAACCGGAGATCTGTTGTTGGAGGTGGAAGAGAAATTCTTCTGGGACTTTGTAACGGAGCTGTTCTCCAGCATACCTTCATCGTTGGCTGTGGCCTTCAGGATGTTACTGAAAAATAAAGATAAACTTTGAACGATGTGTTTTGAATTGGGCGTGCACAATCTTTAAGTGAAGGCATCTGGAGCTGGTTTACAGTGATACGCACTGAAAATATCCAAGAGCCTGAAACCTACTTGAACGAAGGCTTCTGGTTGGAGCTCTTAGGTGTGAGCGGCTTCTCAGAGCGGTTGTTGTGCATGATGGTGGTGACGGAGTTCCCCACCGCTCCCTTGTTGCTCCTGTGAAAAACAAACATGAGCTCGGCACCGGGCGCCTCACAAACTGGAGAACTCTGATTCATTTCTTCCACTGCGCGGGCGTTAAAGTAACTCTGGAGATGATCAAAGTTCATGCTCAGTCATCCAGGTACAAAACCCAACAATGGTCACTCAGGTCAGCTGGACACTTTCTTTTTTGTGGAAAGATGTTTTGTCGTCTATCCAGAGCGCTTCATCAGTCTGAGGAGTCACAAGTAAACCATTTTCCCCACTAAGCAGTACACTCCTTTAGTGCACCAACCAGTTTGCTGGTGATCAGATGGTTTCTGGGGGCTGTCCTGTCCCCCGCTGACTCCTCCCAGGCAGGCAAAGTGGTTCAAGACATCAAAGTTCATGCTCAATCATCCAAGTACAAAATCCTGGAGACGATCCTAAACAGGTTCAGTGTTTCCCCTGGTTAACTTGCCATGGCGGGGTGCTCATCTCATCCATGATTTTTGTTGATGGGGGAGGGAGGAGACATGTCTGAGCGCAGCTTGTACCAACGGTTTTTGAGCGTGTGTGTGTGTGTGTGTGTGTGAGGTGCTGCTCACCTGTTGTTAGCAGTGAAGGTGGCAGCCAGACCGATGCCCGGTTCTTTTTTCTTCAGGCTGGTGAGCGAGTCCACGCTGCCGGTGCTGCGAGAGCTCGAGTGCGACGGAAATGCTCTCGGCTGATCGTCCTGAAATACAAAATATTTTCTTATTAAATGTTTGAACTACTTTAATCCTACTGTTATAAATGCTGCATCTTTAAACCTTACTCTGGGTATTCATGTATTCAGCATGAGAGGAGGAATTATTTAATATTTTTATTACGATTTGTTTTTGTTCTGCCGTTTTTTAATCTTCTGAGCTTTGTTATTTATCATAAAATATAAACTTGACATGTTTTTGCACCGAACCATCACGTTAGATGATTTGTGCCGTCTCTTCTCCTGAGAAGCTCATTTAGGTTTTGCAAACTGTCACAACAAAGCAGAGATGAAAGCTTTCTGTACGTTATTGGTTAATATTGTGCAGCTGTCTTCACATGAATGAAACGTGCACACTGTGGGCGTGAAGCCCAGAGCACAAACTGCACCAGTTCATCGATGGCTGCTGGGAGACGCAAGTATCCAGGAAATGTTCCGTGTTTTTGACACTTCATCAGAGAAAAGCTCTGAAGCACCAGTGTTTGCTCATCACGACGTTCACCTGAGGCTCCTGCAACAACTGCCGCCATGTTTATCTCGTGCTGAGACAAGGAGCCGCGCCAAGACGCAAAAATAAAAACATCCGTTTGGTTTCAGTGCGGCTCTGAGCTCGCCATCCAACTCCCAGTCCGTTGGCACGTCACCTCAAAGCACACACACACACACACACACACACACACACACACACACTCCACTGATTACCGGTAAACGAGTTGAGGTGTGCCATTAAAGTCTGTGCTCGTGCACAGACCGTTCGATAGTTCACCGTGCACCCCGTGCAGAAACATGAGTTTGGGTGAGTCAGAGCTTTTTTGGGACGTTTCCTAACCAAAGAGTTTTCACACTTTTGGTTTGATGGTTTGACACATGGTCTGCAGGACTCTCAAACTGGACGGATTTATAATTATGTTACAATTTGTTTTAATCTGATCTTGTTGTAACGACCTGCTGCCTTCAGATCCTTCCACTAGTAAGGAGGTTTGTTTTTCTGTCTCTGCTTCTGGGAGAGTTATTGTCCATTACAACGAATAAATAAATAAACAGCCAAACAAGTGGCATTTTAAATTAGTTTCTGTTTGGGCTCCACGCCGAGGCTTGGCCCAGTGGTGAAGGTGGTCCTCCTCCAAACACCACTCCCTGCAGGGTGCCAGTCTCCCACAGCCCAAGTCTCTGACGTACGAGAGGACAGAAGCGTCGTCCCGCTGGTTCTGTCCAGTGTTTAAAGCCATTTATATGAAAGCTGTGAGTGTGACCGGGTGAATGAGAAGCTCTAAAGGAGCTCTAGAAGTCATCGACCATTTTCCATTCTTTTCCTGGTTGTTGTAAATGTGGCCCTGGCCCCGAGGTGCGTCCTGCACTCGGGCGTAGCGTTACAACACAATACAACTTTATTTATAAAGCACTTTAAAACAGCACTGTTGGACACCCTTGGTTTTTTTTGCTCCTTGTCACCATGTCGTGGTTGAGATGCACATGAAAATAAAACATACATGTCAGCGTGTGTTTGACGGTCAATACCAGGACGTTCCACGTGGTTCTCTCTGGCGACGTCTTGCTGAGGCTCGCCAGTTTCTTGCGTCCATCTGAGCTGCTGTCAAAAAGAGCCAAGTAGTCCTGGCTCCGGTTCAGACTGGGAACACAACAACCAGCCACAGGTTTAAAAACGTGAGAAAACAGAAAACACAGGCCAGCAGGTGGAAAGTCTCCTCATTGTGTAATCTGATGTCAGTGATGGAAGGAGACACGGCAGCTTCGACAGGGTTCACATCTTTGACTTGGTCTTCAGGTTCTTCTTTACATTTTAATTGTTGTCATGACAGACTGGTCTCACGTCCCGATTTACTGCTGGAATGTGTGTGTGTGTGGGGGGGGGGGGGGGCTCTGATGGACTCCATGTAATAATATATGTTGACCCTGGCTTCCAGCCTCTCCATCCTGGGGAGCAGACGCAGGACGACCCCGTCTTGTTTGTGCAGGACTCTTTCGGCCAGTGAAAGTATATCAATGAGCGTGTGTCTCTTTTTGTGGGGTGGGGGGGCGTTGAGGGGGTGTGAAGGCAGCTGGACCAGTGACAAGCTGTTTGACAGCAGTATTCAGGCAGCGCATTCCTCTGGTTTTACAAGTGATGGATTGGGGGGGGGTGAGTGACCCGGTGGTAGTCAACAACTCTCCAGAGGCTTTGGGGGATGCTGGAGGTGGGGGTCGTGTGCAGAGAGTGTTTAAATTTAAAGCCCCTCAGCTCAGCATCCTCAGCAGCAGGGAGGGGCCAGGCGGCAGCTGCCTGACAATAGAATCACAACGTGCACACACTTCTCTTTTCACTAGCTTCTGGTGGAGGGGGGGTAACCTGATCCGAGAGGTCGTGGCCCTCCCTCTCTAAACTGGGACAAAGAAGCCCCAGAAGCCCCCAGGACCCCAGCAACAGCCACCCGGCCCCTCTCCAGTGTCTCTCAGGGAGGAGCTGGTGCGCCACCATTGTCTGCCAGCTGCTGCCGACCCAAGAGGCTCTCTGCTTTACAGAGCTGCTCACAGAGCGCAGACCTACACGGATCGGTCCTACCAACACAAAAACACGTCACCTCATGAACTTCTTCCATTTACAACAAAAACTTCCTTCATATTTTAGAAGCTTCTGCAATGTCTTGGTGCTGGACTGAAGCGAGACACGAGGAGCTGGTTGTGTCTGAGGCTCTGCGGACATGAACCAGCACATCCCGTACTGTACGCATGTGTCAATGTCACTGATAAGAAATGTAGAAAACTGGTTAGATAAAGAGAAAGACGATGAAAACATCATCCAGATGTCTTTGTACCGTTGACCAACATGGGAATGAAAAGGACTGATCTTCATAATCCCGACAGAAAATAGATTTAGCAGTTTTCTTTTTGAAAATGTTTTGACAGAATAATGCGAAAAGCTTAAGAAAGCATGTTGATCAGGTGATGCTAGTGATTTGTTAGCATGTGAGCTGCCTCATTAATCCAACTTCCAGCCCCGCCGTGAGATAAATCTCTGAAATCCACCAGAAAACTGCATTTTGTTGAGAACTTTCAGGGCAAAGTGCTGAGAAGAAAAACAGAAAGGAAAGTTTTGTATATCGCAGACTTTGAGTCATTAAAAGGAGGTGCTTGACAAAAATAAAAGAATTAGAAATAAAAGTTTACCAGTACTTTTGATAAAAAGTACTGGTAAACTGAAGTAAACAAGTTAAAATATAATATCCATCAAATTTGCCCCATTTTAACATTCCACATAACTCCACTATATAATTAAAAGATTGACTATAACTGTTCCAGAAGGTTCTAGACACAGTGAGCGTATAAAGGAGCAGAAATGTTTCTTTGGACTGTACAGCTTGTAGTTTCTGCATGTGTGTAAGTTAGCACCTTAAGCTCAGGTTGGCCTGCTGGTTGACCTGTGTGGTGCTGCTGGACCGCCTCAAATTCTTGATGGAGGGGGAGCTACCGGTACTGGCGTCACCCTGTGGATGTAAAAGCCTTGTTGATCCGGTTCACTGGTGGTGAATTCTGACGTTATAACTCAGAAGAGTTGACGCAGGAGCTCACCAGCGCGTTGCGCTTCCCTCTGCTGTCACCGGCCACAGACACAGACCGAGAGAAGCACTTCCCAGGAGACGCACTGCTGGGTCTTTTGGACATGGGGAGCTGGGAGCCGGACAGGCTGAGGTCCAGGGCATCATGTGGGGCGCCTGTCGAGATGGACGTGGGGCTTCGTGTTGTATGCATCCTGTTAAAACCTGTAAAACAAATAAAGTACTGAAGAACCACGACAAGAAAATAAACTCTCCAGCAAAAAAATAAAACATGTGTTCAGGCAGTCTACATAGGTTTATTTGTTAAAGTGTGACACAACTATCATGCTACTTTATTTTTTCACAACAGAGTTATTAATAATAAATCATAGCCTTAGATTTCTTTTAGACAATAACTAAAACTAAATGTCTTCAGTAAACGAGCTCAGCTCACCTGCAGTCGGTTAGCAGAACTTCATGCAGGTTAAATAAAACTCTGTGCTAGTTTGAAACATTTGACCCCAGAATGTGATGGGGCACAGAATTTGATGCAACACCTGCAAAGTTACCAAACATTAGCTAGCTGAAACTTCTACATGAATTTTAACGGTGTCGTTTCTATAAATGCTCTATAAGGTTACTGTGTGGGTCCAGTTTTAATCACACGAGTACAAGACGATAATATCTTTATTTCGGCCTTGGCTAAGCAGACAAATCGTGCTAACCGTTACGGATTCCTGCGGTAACAGTTGTAGGTCTAAACGGTAGCATTTCCAGCTAACGCAGTTCTTTAACCGGGCTCGAAACAAAAACTAAGAAATAAGCACTTACTTCACAAACCAGACGGCATCCTACACGATTATCTCCGGTCCAGCTTCACGGCGATGTTTTCTTTTTTATTAACAAAACTGTCGAGCAGAGAAAGTGCTCGGCAGATAAACACACATCGGACCAAATGACGCTTCGTCTCTGTGGCAACGACGAGACGGGCAAGCCCCGCCTCTTCTTTGATTGGTGGAAGCAAAAACAGCGTCACCAAGTGGTCGCACGTGATAGGCTGAATGCAGGCGTCAATCAACTGAAGAGGCGTGCCTTCTGCAACAGGTTTGGTTGACTTAAACTATTTCTCAAAGTTAAGTAACATTCAAAGCAGAAATAAAAAAAAATACGTTTTAGTGACTGAATCTTCTCAACTTTATTTAAAGTTAACAAAAACAAACCAAAGTAATAATTTTTAATATTTACACTGCAAAAAGGGCACGTGTTTTGGAATTATTAAAGTGATGACTGTAGTTTTAATCAATATATTCTATTTTCTTTTAAACTCCACAGCTGCCCTCCACACATCTGCCCCTTTCCTCAGCAGGATCTCCTCCGGCAAATCTTCAAGCCCCAGCAGAGGAGGAAGGTCTTTGTGCTCCAAATGGACCTCTAAGGTGGACCTGATGCTGCAAACAGCGAGAGAAGGGGGGGAGAAAACAACTGTTAGCTCTCTGCTTCCATTATTTTCACCACATGCATTCCTGCGGAGCTCCTGCCCAGCTGCTGCTTCAATAAGAGTGACCCGCAGCCGAACTTAAGCTGCTTCTCCCTGACAGATGGCTGCCAAGAGGGGTCACGACATGATCCTGAAAGTCAAAAGGCTCCAAATCCTGGGGGGGGCACACTTTCCTCTGATTCAAGCTGTCAGGATTCCTTTAGACCAGAGAGGTCATCCTTTAAATGACAAAGGACACACTTCTTAGGGAGACAATCCCTTGTAAAAGCACAAACTGGTGAGAAAATACCAATAAGCCAAATGTTCTGGGATTGTTTCACCTTTTGGTAACAACTCCAACCAAACCCAAACCAAGAGACGCTAAAAGTCACGACAGAAGACTTGTTGGTTTCTGCTTACTCCCAGTGTGGCTGGTAGCTCTGGTCAGGAAGAGAGCTGCTCGTCTTCAGCAGCAGAACTTCATGCAGCTCCAGAGCAAAAACGTCAACATCTGTGACGGCGAGAAAAGCCTTCAGCGCTCTCTTCTCTTCAACCGTCAGCTTCTGCTGAAACTCTGAGCGCAGCTTCTGAAACGGGTCCTAAAACAAACAGGAAGTCCATCAAACATCAAACATCAGACTTCTGGGTCTTCATTCTTTAGTGATATTTAGACAAAACGCTGTTCTAATTAAAATTCTGAGGAGAGTTCCTCAGGATTTATTGGGGTTACTGAGCAGCTGCCGTGCCAGACGGCACGCTCTCCACTGACCGCACTCATCAAATAAACACTTTGTGGTACGGTTTGAGGTCAAGGGTCACAAGTTAAAGTCCTGCTTCTTCTAATCTATTCAGGCGGTCGCCCTGTGTTGTTTCTGACATGAAGGTTTAAATCTTGAAAGAGGGATGGTAGGTGTCCTTATTTTAATCAGCATCGTTGTAAACACGCTGCAGAGTTTCAGCGCCACGAAATGACCTAAACTTGAATATTTTTAGTGTGTCCTTGATTTGACATTGAAGCCACGATGTTGAGATTAAAATCAAAACTTAGAGAAAAATCTGAAATATTATCTACATAAATCAGAAAAAGTCACATTTGTTCCATTTTTTACCTTTAACGTATCAGAGATATGGTTGATCTTTACTGAGGTAAGAACTAAACAACGTGCAGTATTTTATTTGAAGCAGTTCAACGTGCGCTTTATTACTCCAGCTGCTTGTTTCGACCCTACACAATAAAAGTCTCAAACACAAACAGAGCTTAAAAAAAGAACTCTCTCTGAACAGCTCAAGTATTTTAGCTTACATTATTGTTTGCCAGTAAAACTGCTCCTACAGCCTCGATAATAATTCTGAGTGTTTGGAATTGTGTTTGAGACTCTTATTTTGAAGGACGGGAGACATAACGCCAGCACCAGGACTGGTTCTGGTCAAATCCTGCACGTTATTCTGCAGTGAATCCAGTTACAGTGCACACCTAACACAGACAGAGCGGGTCGGCAGCACGAGGGACCCATTTCCTCCAGTTTAGTCTTGAATTAAAACTTTTCTCTACATTGCAACATTTTTTCAGAAATACAACTTTAAAGTCAAAACAAAGAATCAAAGTGCACAAACATTTCTCCTCATATTTTCCTCTCTAAATGTCGCACAGCAGAACGACGCTTGTGACGAGTCCAAAACGTTCACCTTTAATAAACTCGTTGTTTTATTCAGCTTACTTGGTTCCTGTTCAGCATAAGTTCAGATTTCCAGCAGTGCAGGAGCTGCCAGCTGAAGACGCTGTGCCGCAGTCGGACCTCACCGAGGCCCTGAAAGGAAACGGACGGAGTCGTTAAAAAAAACAAAAAAAAACGAGACCTGCAGCTTCACATCTGGGCAGATGTAGTAAAGCTGTTGCAGATGTTCTGCCCCAGATGTCAGTTCATTAAATGTCAACCTTCTTGTAAAAGCCATCAGGTGGTTCAGAGGTCAGCTGCTCGTGTCATGACTCCACCCCTCCTGTGATCGCGTCACCCTCGTCCTGCAGCAGCTTCACTCGCTCACCGTTAAATCTTGCATCATCTTCAAAATGTTTCTTCACACTTTTAAAGCCAACCGTCTCGCCCTCCATATTTATGTGACCTTCTGCAGATCTCCATCCCCTCCCGCTCCCTCAGACGCGCCTCCTCCTTCCACCTCCTCGTCACAAGGAGCAGGGCCTTCAGCCGCTCTGCTCCTCCGACCTACGAAACCTCCCCGCTCTTTGTTACACGATTGTTTTCCTGGTGGATGTTGGTTTTTAGCTGTGCAGCGTCTCCGAGTGCCCTGAAAGGTGCGTTTCAATTCATTCTATCAGTTTATCATTGTTTTGTATTAAAGCAGTAGTGTCTTTAAAGTTTCATCTAATGTACTCGTTTAAGTAAATCTGAACCAGCAGCTTCATAAAAAATGTTGAATTAAAGAGTTAAAACAAAAAAGGCGACTGGACTTTGGTTCTGTAGCTGAACACGTCTGGCTTCTCATCGTAGGAGCTTTTTCAGTTTTTCAGTGCTAATTTTAGCTTTCAGCTACTGTTCTAACAAAAGAAAAGTTTTAATCTTTATTTGGAAAAGCTCCTACATGAGAAGCTCCAGAGCGCCTCGCTGCCTTGTTGTTGAAACTCGTAGGATCTGTCAAGTCCTGGACGACTGACGATCTGCACAAACACATTCATAAAACGTTCTATTTTTAACTCGACTCCTCCTCAAGGCCGTCGGTCAAACAAACTCAGGCTGCGGCTGCAGTCCAAGAAGATAAAACTATGACTGCTTCAAAGGATCTGCAGAGAACGTCACAAAAACAGGATTTATTTGAGGAGATCCAGAGACCAGTCAGAGTTACAGATTTTAAACCTGGTGTGGTAGTAGCTGAGACTCACTCCCATCACACTCAGAGAGCTAGCAGCTTGTGTAAAACAGTAATCTGGTGGGAAGCATGCATCAGGATTGTTCGTTTAGCGGTGGGGGGGGTCTACCTTGGCCACTGCGCTCGAGATCTGCGGGCCCATCTGGAGCGACTCGGTGAGAAAGGACAAGAGTCGGTCCTCGGGATCTCCGCCCGTCTTTGCGAGGAAGCGAAGGCCGATCTCGACCACGAACACGGCGTCGCACACGTCGGTGTACGAGCGCAGCGCGGCTCTCATGGCGCCGCTCACCGAGCCCTTCGGCGCCTCCTGAAACACAGACGGCGTCAGCAGGCCGGAGAAGAGCAGCCGAAGGAAGGAACAAACATCCAGCAGGGAAAGAAGAGAATCGATGAGCAGCTGATATCAGCTCCAGATCAATCAATGCAACCAGAAGAACTGAACACTGACAGGCTGAACGGTAGGAGCTAAAACACTTGGAACAAAAGGTAAAATCAGCTAAACAAGAGCTGCTAAATAAAAGCTAAAATCAGCTAATTAAAAGCTAAAAATAGCTAAACAAAAGCTCAAATGAAAACTGAAGATAGAAGCCAGCATTAGAAAAACAAACGCTACAATCAAAAAGTAACTCAAAGCTAAAATAAAAAAATAGCTAAATGCTAACATTAGAAAATCAGTGGCTAAATGCTGGAACTACCAAAACAGTAGCCAAAAGCTTAGACTTGCAAAACAGTAGCTAAAATCTAAATTTAGCAAAAGAGTAAGTGGAATTCAAACAACAGCTAAATATTAAATCAACCAAAACAGTAGCTTAAAGCTAAAAATGAAACAAGTGTGCTAAAGTATATTTCAAAGAGCAGAAATATTTTCAAGGACTTTAAGAAATCTTAATGTATTTGTTTGAAAAATACTTTAAATGAAGATGAATATCACAAAAAGTTACTAAATAAACATTTATAGCTGGGATGTCCTGACTGAGCCGAACGTTTTGATATACCAACAGGTAAAGTAGCTGAAAGTACGCTGAAGAAGCTATAGTCCAAAAAATATAAATAAATAAAAAACCTATAAAGAGGAAACCACCAGAGTGAATGCTGACTCAGCGTTAGCACAACAATTGCTGACTCAGCTTACCTGGAGTATCTTTCCTCTCACTTCAGTCAGAACCACAGAGAAGTCCTGCAGGCGTCGGTTCAGGTACCTCGAAGTGTCCTGATTCAGACAGAAAACACAGTTTAACGTTTCCTCCTTCCTGCGGCTGTGGGATTAAATCCAGATTATTTTACCCCCTGGATCAGTGGTTTTCCAGCCAGGAAGCGGCGGGCCAGCTGGGTCTGGATGGCGGGCAGGTCGTAGCTGCTGTCCGTCTCCCCGCCTTTCTGCAGCGTGTAGTTACAGTTTGCCAAAACGAGCGGCAGCAGCTCTCGCTCAGGGTGGCACAGAGTCAGCTGGGTCTCTGAAATCCTCTCCAAAGGAACGCTGTGACCTCTGAGGAAACAGGACGACACAGAGCACAGGCGGCTCAGAGGGCAACGCAGCTTTAGGAATGATGCTTGAACATCTCCAGCACCAAATGGATGAAAAGAGTCACTGCAAACGGTTCACACCTCACCTGTTGAACTAGAACAGCATTCTGAGTTTAATCACAAACGTACAAAGATTCCTCGTTTAATTCAAGATTCATTGATTTAACTACCATAGTTTTGGTCTATAAGTCAGTTTTTTTGTATAATTTACATGACCTGTGATTTATAGGCTGAAGCGACATATTTATGATTTTTCCCATATTTATAATCCAATGTTTGACTGAGTATGACCGTTTTCATTCATTCTGACTGAAAATATTGATCACTACCATTTTCAGCCTTTAGACGGCACTCGAGTAGTATGGCATGCCGTTTTGTCATGTAATAGGTAAAAGTGGCTATTAATGACACAACTGGCTTGCCATAGCCTGACACCTTCGTCTGCTTGGAGCAACCGTCAAATCAGCTTCATTTCACTGCGCCGCTCCAATGAAATGCAGCCGATTTGACCACTGAAGTGCATTTATCAAGTAAAAGTTCAACTGAGACACACCTTTGCTATAAAGTCGAGCAAACAAATAATTGTTTTTAGGTGTTTATTTTGTTAAATTTCAAAGAAATGCACAGTGAGTCGTCCCTCTGCGTGCTCCTGCTTCCGCGTATCGGCTTTTGAAATGCAGCTGATTTGACCATTAAAGTCCTTTTATCAAGAAAAAGTTAAACTGAGACACACCTTTGCTACAATTTCAAGCAAACAAATAATTGCTTTTAAGTGTTAATCTTGTTAAATTCTTGTTAAAGTCCTCCTGGCAACTCTCCCGCGGCCGCCATTTGGTAGCCAATCAATTTTTGGCACAACACCGGCCCACATTTCCAGGTTGTCAGCGGTGACACGTAATAGATGTGACTTATACGGTGAAGCGACATATGTATTTTTTTCCACTTCATTAGACATATTTGCACTGATGTTGTGACGTGTACGGCAGAAAATACGGTAATATTCTGCTAAATTTAGTTTCTAGCCATTGATGTGCTAAAGATCTTTGCAGAAATGTCTCCACACTTGTCACACAGCGTGGCGCCGCTGCAGCTGGAGCAGAACTGACCTGTCCTCGTGGAGGTTCACCCTCCTGGCCTCCCTCACCAGGCTGTTGTGAGTCTCCAACAGGAAGTCCACCAGAGTCTGGAGACATGAACCGGGACCGTGTCGACTCGGAGTCAGGTACTCCCCTGAGCTCTCGGCCATCACCTCCGTCTCACAAAGGTTCACATCGACGCCCAGATGTGCTGCTGCAAACGCACAAACACAGACGTGACAAAGGATCTAAAAGCATTTGAGACGGAACAGAGACCCCTCGTGGATCATAATTTATGCACGCAGAGAGGGGGTCTGTGTGCAGGACCTCAGCTCTGCTGCAGGGACACTCTCTCACCTTCCAGTGAATCTGGACCACATCAAAGGACATTTTGTAGATATTTTTATCAGCGCGAGTCAAAGATCTTAAATTATCTTCAGATTAGTTTCTTCTTCACTCGTGAACTCCTAAAATCATTTGAGTCAATCGTCTGAACTTAATGTTTTTAATTTAAACGCCAGCTTTCTTCAGTTTCCACACTAAGTCATAACATCCATAAAAGGCTACGACACCGAACACTGACGACTTTTGACCACGTCAGAACCTTAAAATTAATATTTTACTAAGTTATTTGTTTTTACTGCTTCTGCAGCTTCCTGGGACATTTGGCTTCAGAAACACAAAAGTGGCTCCACATGAAAACACGCGGACTCATCTCAGGTATTAGAAAAAAGAACACCTTTAAAATCTCACTGCGTAAAAGAATCCTGATTTAACAGTTTGTGCCGTCAGCCATACTTCCCTAAATAAAATTGTAAATATGCAGCAAAAAGTAAAAATATCACAAATCATTTTAACACTTGTTTGATTAATGGTGTTATAATATCACATTTAACATAAAAATTAAACATTTGAAGGCCAGAGGGACACCAAGGTTTTACACCCAAGTTCACTTCCTGTCTTGAATACTTCTTCTAAATGAACTTTATTTTGAAGTTTTGCAGGATTAGATATTAAAAACTGCACGGCTATTAACAAAAACAGATTTAAATTAAAAATAAAAACTTCTCCTGGCTGCAGACTCCCAGCCCTTCAGCTGCACAAAGAACCTTCTTCATGCTCAAACCTTGTCCTACAAAAACACTTAAAAGTTGTAATAAATACATTTTGACACAGTTTATGACGGGGTGCTGCACTGAAGCATCTCGCAGTGAAACACTGACGCTCACCGTGCGCCACCTCAGCTCGGAGGCCGTTCCACACCTCCATAAATCTGAGCACCCTCTCAGACAGCAGCTTCCTCTGGCACCCTGATGATGAAGAGGATGATGACAGGACTCAGCTCGTGTCTGAATACGTGCGTTTGATTAACTTGGAAACACGGGCAAACCTGAAGGTATCTGCTTTAACATCTGCTCCACGGTCTGAGGAGCAGAGCCCGACATGAGGGGAAACGCCCTGAGCAGGTCCGACTGCAGAGCAGCCAGCTCAGGAAGGTTATGAAGCTGTCGCACGCCGTTTATCTGAAACACACACACACACACACACACATTGTTCTGGGATCCAGTTTTTGATTTTCTGTTTCACAAAGTGAACTTTGCACATCGTCTTGACACGACGTGTCTTTGTGCTCGAGCAGCTCACCAACGTTTAAACGAGACATATTTAGAGACAAAACGTCCCGATTTGATGAAAATGACAAGGAGACAGTAGCTCAGTGGTCAGTAACCCTGAGGCTGCAGGTTTGAGCCCAGGTTGCATCAGTGTTTGTGTCAGTTGCTCATTCAAGACAGAACACCACAACAAGCAGCACCTGCGCTACACAGCCGTAGAGCAGGGATGACCAGTCCTGATCCTGGAAGGCCACCATCCTGCGTGTTTTAGACGTTTCTCTGCTCCAACACGCCTGATCTGAATCAAGGGCAGATTAACGGTTCCTCTGCAGAGCACCAGGTGTGATGCAGCAGGGAAACAGGTCAAAGCTGCAGGATGGGGCCCCTCCAGGAGCAGGTTGGGCATGAGGCGTTGGAATACGGTGACAATCGGCCTTTTGTTGAAGACTCCAGCGGAGACGGATACCTTCTTAAAGAACAAGCGGAGCAGAGGGAAAGAGCGGCGTCCCGGCGTCTCCTCCACCAGCTGCGCGAAGCGCTCCACTGTCATCATCTCCTGCAGAGTCCAGAAGGACGAGCGATGTGTCGGGCAGTTTGAGGGCAGAGAAAACATCGGGCCCGGATCGCCGAAGAGGAGCGTCACCAGGGGGCTTCCAAGGAGACCGTCGTCTGAGGAGATTCTTTCCTGAGCTTCAGAAAGATTCTTCTGCAAATCCTGTAAAAAGACCGATGTTTTCAGCAACAAACACAAAATGCTCGTTTGGTAAAATGTCACTCCAGGCTGTTGCACCTTCTGCATCCCTTACCTGAAGGACCGGGTCGATGGCAGAGCTGCAGACAAGCGTCTCCCACTGCTGCCGTCCCTGCTTGGAGGACAGATCCGGACTCGCACCGCGGGAACCTTCATTAACGTTTCGCACACTCGAGTTAATTTAATATCAGACGTATGACGCTAAAATCACTGAAGTCAGTTTCACCTGGTGGGAACCTCGTCAGAACCAAATGAACGGTGACTGCCGTGTTGTCCACGTTCTGACCCAGACGTTCCCCCAGAACCTTCAGGTCCTTCTCCAGGTGGTTCCACAGGAAGTTGAGGACATCAGACGTCCTCGGGTGAATCATGTCCCCGACTCCCTGCAACAAACGCAGGAGGGATGGTTTGCACGCCTTTCAGAAGCAGATATGATCGGGACCAGATCCGGACTCACCCTCTGGTTTCTGGCCGCTCCTTGAAGCATGGCGAGGTGCGTCAGCAGCCGCAGGACGCCGGTCTGAGCAGACGTCAGCTGCCGCTCAGGAGCTTCAGACCTGCGATTAGCCTCCCCCAGAACGTGCCCGGTCCGAGTCTGGTCCCTGACGTGTCGTACAAACAAGTGTGAGTTGAAACTTTTAGTCTGTAAAAATAGTTTGAACGTTGAGCAACGACTGAACCGACACGAACGCTGAGCTCTCACAGCTAAAAGGATCTGAACAGCAAAAAGGAGTAAACAGCAGCTCAAAGCAACATGGGCTAAATAACAGCTAAGATGCTAAAATCACCAAAACTTTTTTCTTTAGCTAAATTTAGCAGAACAAAAGTTAAAGCTATGATTAGCTGAACAATAAATGAAAGCTAAAAGCTAAATTTTGCTAATAAAATTAGCAGAAAAGTAGGTAAAAGCTAAACATGAAGCAAGTACGCTAAAGCAGACGTTTTTTCAAGGAATTTAAAATTTTCTATTAATTTCAAAGAGAAAAAATTATAAATTAATTTTTAAAAGTTTTAAAAAATCCAGTTAAGCTGATGAAGTGAACACAGTCCGACCTGCGATGAGTCCGCGGATTAAACCCTTCCACGGGGACGTGTCCCTGTCCTCCAACTGGAGCTCCACATTCGACACAATTCGATCGAACCACCGGTCGTCCACACTACAAGAACATGTGATCAATTCAGATCAATAAACGAGGTCATCTAACGTCATGAACGATACGTTTTAACGGAAACACAAAAAGCACAAACCTCTCCGACAAAGCACACATGCCCATTGATGCAGGCTGTAAGTGAAGACAAACATTTATAATCACTTAAACTGCTGCTTGTCTTTAGTGTTGTTGTCTGCACGCACACAATAAACTACGATTTATAATCAGGAGGTTCACTCCATCAGGGCAACACAAAGACGAGAAGACTCACTGTACTCTTTGAGCTTCCCCTCTCTGCTCAGCCACTGCAGGCCCTCACTCGTGTGATCGTCGGGCATCGTTGGAAGGTACGAATCCTTCGAGACAAAATAGATAAGAAACTTTAATTGTTATGAAAAGTAGGTGTTGTCCAAACTGTTAAAATAAAAATATTTCAGACCACAGTTTAATTTATAAAGGTCACCGATGAATTATAATCCAAAATATGACTTCTAAATTAACTTTATTCTCTTGAATTGGTAAATAATCTGATGAAAACTGGTACGATTTAATATGCTACCATATCATGACCGTTTTACAGCCGCTTCACATCAAAGCTGACAAACACTTTTTGCAGCCAAAGTAAATGAAAGTGACGGTTTTAATCAGGAAATATTCGCTGAGGAGGGTCGTACTGTGACGTTCTCAGGCTGGAAGGCGATCTGATAGAGGGGAGCCAGCAGAGGGGTTCTACAGAGGAGCACAGAGTCCAGATGGACCAGCAGCTCCAGGAGGGTTTGCCTCAGAGGCGCCAGATCCGAGCTGGTGCGGAGAGGCGAGCCAGGTCCACCGATCCGATTGCACAGGAGAGCCGAGCAGAACTCCCTGAACTCCTCCGAGTTGACGTCTCTGAGAAGAGCTCCCAGCCTCGCTGTCTCCTGGACAAACACACAGCGTAGAAATAAAGGTTCCTCTGCAGTTACTGGGCCTGAAAACCTGATGTGAAAACGTTCTGTCACTTATGTTTCTTTAATAAAGTCCATGCTTGTCTGCAAAACTATTAAACCTCTGCATTCGATCGGGCGTCCCACAGCTAATTATCATCCTTGTCATGTTTTGGAGCCCTGACTCAGATTAAGAAGACAACTGGGCTGCATTTGTCGTGTACCTGTTGGGAAGGATGTAAGCTGGCGTCAGGTGACCTGAAGCGGCAGGTGACTTGTCTGAATAAGGCCAGAGGAACCAGGCTGACCTGAGATCCTCTCAGCTTCTACAGAGGGAACATACAAATCTCAAATTAAAGCCCATCTGATGTAAAAAACACAAAGATCTGCTTCAGATGAGTCTTTAAAAATCAGTGGTGCCCAACCATGGTCCTTGAGGAACACCATCCTGCATGTTTTAGTTGTTCCCAAACACCTGAATGAATGAAAGGGTGAGTAACAGGCTTCTGCCAAACTTAAGGAAGTAATTAAACCACTCAATCAGGTGCACTGGAGCAGAGAAACAACTAAAAACATACAGGACGGTGTTCCTCAAGGACCAGTGTTGGGAACCACTACTTTATAAGAAACTAAGAAAAACTGGATGATTATACTTTCTGTTATTGTTTCATTTTAAACGAGAAGCACAAAGTGGATCACAGAAGATGTTACAGGTATTTAAGGGTTAATGTTATACAAACGTCTGACGAGCTAACATGTTAGCTCCACTCTCACCTGCAGCTCTGTCATAAAGGTGTCGGACCTGTTCTCCAGAAGAACCGGGGCCAAGGCGGTTCTCAAGGTTCTGTAAGGTGTCCCACAGCAAAGGAAGTAGTCCAAGTTCTGTGGCAACATCCTCTGAGAGAACGAAAGGAAGAAAGTTTCATGAACCGCTCACGATGTTCAGCTGACAAAATGCTCCCTGAAGATAAAACAGATCGACTCAACGTCACATTAAAAAAACGACTTGGTCAAAATAATTTAAAACTTTTCATCATCCAGTTAGAACATTAAAATAATAAAAACTAATTTGATTCATTAATCGCCACTTTAGGCACTTTTGTTTAGTTCTGTAGCTTTTATCTCTGGCGACAACAAAAAGATTCAGCTTCAGGTTTGTTCTTCAGGTGTTTTCACCTGAAGTCGGAGCAGATCTGCAGGAAATATCCACCTCCAGGCCGGGCTGTTCATGAGGGTCAGTATGACGTCCATACCGGAGCGCCTGTGGAGGGCTCGCAGCAGGTAAACCCGGAGCCAGTCGTTGCCGCTGTACTCACAGACGCCCCTCACCTGCTGCAGGTACTGGACAGCCTCCACCTCTCCACCTTTAAAGCAAACGACAAGAAACTTTAAAAACACTCGTTTTGTATTTTTTCAGACAAAGGAGACTCACGCTGAAGTGCGGCTCCCTCCAGCAGCTTGGCAGCAGAGCTCAGACAGACTCGGAGTCTGGCGATGTTGAGCAGGAACTCTGCCGGGTCTTCCTGCCTGCATGGGGTCCGTTTCCTGGCAATTCTGCTCAGAAACCTGGTTTCTGCTCGATGCTCTCCACCTCCATCTTCTCTGGCTTTTGAGCACAACAGAGAATCCTGAAGAAAAATAAATAAAATAAGGACCTGGTTAGACCTGGTCAAAAGATGAAGGTGTCGTTTTTAACCTGGAAGCAGCGGACGAACAGCAGGTAGAGTTCTGTTTGGTCTTCTCTGCCAAGAAGGTTCTCCTCCAGGTTCTTCAGGTAGTTCTGAATGTGGGTCTTCACCTGATCAAAACTGAACAATGCAACACGATGAACTAACACGACAAACTAACATGATGAACTAACAGGATGAACTAACAGGATGAACAAACACGATGAACTAACACAATGAACTAACAGGATGAACTAACAGGATGAACTAACACGACGAACTAACATGATGAACTAACAGGATGAACTAACAGGATGAACTAAAAGGATTAATTAACACGATGAATTAACACAATGAACTAACAGGATGAACTAACAGGATGAACTAACAGGATGAAATAACGCGATGAACTAACAGGATGAACTAACAGAATGAACTAACAGACAGGATGAACTAACAGGATGAACTAACGCGATGAACTAACGCGATGAACT